AACTTAATTCCGCGACGATAAAATTGTAAGCTATTAAGATCTTCAGAAGTTAAAGCTACATAAGTATTCAACATGGATTGCACTTACTGCTATCTCGTATAAAATGTAGAAATATCTCTGTATTAAGAATCGACGCGACCTAATTCGATATCGGAATTAACTTTCTTAGAAAAGCGCTTTAGATAGAGCATGCAAAAATCATATTAGATGTTGCCTGAGCTTGTTTAAAGATTAAAATATCAAGACGTAATCGGAACAGATATTGGAATATCGTGGTTGGTGGAACATCATGTTTGAAGATTTCATATCTCGAGCAGATATTCAACGGAGAAAGAAGAAATAAAGCCATGTCTCGTATTGAGACTTTACTATTGAAGAGAACACGGAGGACATGTCCCAGTGAATTGGCCGTGCGAGTTTTCTCAAAAAGTTGGATATGAATGTCACTCGAGCTGCATTCGAAATTGCACGACATCGAGAGACACGTTTAAACGTAAACGACATGCGAAGTTAATCGAAAAAAATGAAATTGTCGACTTTGAAATGTATATCGAAGTAACGTTGCTTATAAATCACAGCTGCATAAAATAGAATCTCTATGGCATCAGAATGTCCTGTAGAAATCGTACATTGCATTCTCGCGGAAATATTGATAGTTATCGCAGAATCTAGTTTCTTTTTCTAGTCGAAGCGTCTCGCCAGGAGGTGGACGACATTCGTCCGATCGATCTCCAGGTCGTGCCATCGCAAGGAGCAACAGTTGGTTTTTATGCAGACTAATATTCGGCAAGCGTGACAGGGGACAATTTAATTCGAAATCGTCCGCTTACAATGACATCGTCGTGCACCGTTCCCATTCCTCGGAATTATTGTCCCTTTCTCGCTATCACAAAACCGTCTATATACAGTCACGAAACTAATTGTCCGGATAATGCGCCATTATATAGATTGATTTCTTCGGACTATTCTTCAAACTAGTGTAGCAAATTTCACAATTAGTTGTCCAAATATAAATATAATATATATAAATGTATATTGAGAAAAATGTCTAGTCAGATTAATTGGAATTCTGATTGAAAATGGACAAATCAGAATTTTTTAATTAAATCGATTAGGATTCTAGTTGAGATAATTGGAATTCTAATTATATCATTCAGAATTTCGATTATCGATTCTTTTGATTCCAATTTTCAAACATTTTTCTAAGGGTATTATTAATGTCGTAATGTGCGTAAAATCATAATTTTAACACTAGATAACAATTTAAAGAAATTATCAATATATTGGCGGATTATAACTTTAAAACGATTGTTTGTAAGGGCATATTCTTTAAATTACGTCTTCATAAAAATATTCTAAAATTGTGCATTATCGCATTCACGAAATTAATTATTCGAATAATGTGCCATTACATCGATTTCTTCTGTTATCCAGATATTGAAAATTACGAATATAGCATTTTTCAATATATTTACAAATTGTAGTTTTAAATATATGCGTTAATTTTAAATTTATGCATTAATATATTATGGCATTGATATGTATATATATATATAGGGTATATATACAGGATGTCTGGAAATAATCGTCAAATATTTCATGGGCAGGTAGAGAGGACTAAACTGAGTCGAAAAGTCCTCTGCAATTTTAGCAATAGTTAACAAAATATTAATGACTAAAAATTGCCAAATATTAGTCTTGAATAATTTTTTACTCAAATACTATCAACTTTACAGAAAAACTGCAAGAGACCAAAAATCATTTATTTTCTTCTCATAGAACTCTAAGAATTTTTTCAAAATTTTTTATCAATTTTTTAGTATTGCATTTTCTTATTTTTATCAACATGAAAAAATACGGTATTAAGAAATTCTGAAAAAATTCTGAAAAAATTCTCAGACCTTTAGGAGAAGAAAATAAATGATTTTTGTCTCTTGTAGTTTTTCTATAAAGTTGATAGTATTTAAGTAAAAAATTATTCAAAACAATATTTGGCAATTTTTAGTAATTAATACCTTGTTAACTATTGCGAAAATTGCAAAATAATAGCAGACTTTTCGACTCAGTTTATATATATATATATATATAGTTTATATTTATACTTGGAAAACTAATTGTAAAACTACCAATATCGTAATGCATAGAACTAGAATTTTTAACATCCGGAAAACAATTTGAAGAAATTATTGATATAATGATGTTGTTCAGATAATTAGTAAATGTATAGTTGAGTTGCATCGAAAAGATGAGTTTATATATATATAAAATTCATGCTAGAAAAAACGAGCAAAGAATCTTGAAATTTTAATGACACTGCGAATCTCTCCAAAAACTTTTTCCGGAAAAAATATTGTAAACTACACTGCGACACGTTTTAATTAGACCTCGGAAAAGTACTTTTAAGGACTGGTTTGAGAGAAATAGAATATGCAAAACATGGTAGTATAGAGACCCTTTTGAAACGGTTATTGTCGATCTGGAGAATTAGAGGATTAAATCGACCCGTTCTTGCACCTGACGTATCTCAAATACGAGCTTCGAGAAAGCAGACGTGAGGAGGGGAGGAGAGGAGGAGGCCCAAAGTTCACGAACATGCAGTTCATTCGCCCCCGCTGGCGTGCGTAGTTGTTCGACGGCATTATTGACAGGGGTGCGGGTCGAGTATGTAACTTTGTTAGGCCGAGACTGAGGAAGCAAGCCGTCGTGCCCTGAATTCGCAATTCGCGTCCCGCCGGATGCCGCATACTGATGGAAAATAATTTTTCAACTTTTACACATGACGTGGCGGCACGCGAGGCACGCGATTATCACGATGAAGGAAGAATCCGGAAGAACGAAATCCTAAAAAATAGCTAGTGTTTAATTGATATCATGTACTTATATGCTTTATTATTCTTCTGCGCGATAATAAATACGATTCGAAAAATATTCAACGCCATAATCGCATGTGTGATTTTTAACGACTTTTTTTTCAAGGTTTTACTTTTCAAGGCCTTGCGTTTGTTATGCTTGAAAGAAATGCGATGAACGATCGCGTTCAAAATAATAATTAGCCTAACAACTTGATTAAAATCTCGTTAATGTCGTTACAATAATATATTCTATCTCAGTCTCTCTCTCTCTCTCTCTCTCCTTCTCCCTCCCCCCTCTCTCTCTCTCTCTTTCTCAAAACTCTGTGAAATATCATATTTAACCGTACTATTCACAGACTCGTTATTTCATATTAGATTTAATAAAGAAAGATGCTCACCGATACGACGTCCTGCCGATGAAGCTGATCTTCTACAGGCACTGCATTCTCTCGTCTCCAGTTCCGTTGAAATTCACCACACACTCACGAGATGAAATACTCACGAGACAACACTCGCGAAAACACGATCGAGAAAGAACTAATTGTCACAATACGACGATCGCGATATACTTATTACACTCCCGACGTAAAACGCTCGATCATCATGGCTACCGTTGTTCCGCTTGAATTCAGCGATTCACCGAGAGTCTTGACGTCGCCAACTTCACACCGACGCCACGCCACGCCACGCCACGCCACGCCACGCCACACGCGAGTCGATACAACGCGAGTCGAGTCGAATCGGCAGTCAGTCGAAACGTGAGTGAACCGTTCGAAAATGTATCCTTGTGTATATTCAAGATAGAAATATGTACGTACTTTACTTATGTCGTATTACTTTTTGTGTGTGCCACTCTCTTAAACCGTGCGAGACAATAGCCTGGTTTACATTGTGCGTTTAGTCCGCGGCCTATACGATAGGCATCTTTGTTCAATAAACAAGGTCGCGGCTACGCACCGTGTAAACATAGCCGTTAGCTGTGTTCAATAAAGAACGTAGTTTGTAACTGTTGTAAAATTCTTTTCGTACAATTTTGAAAAAGTATTGGACATCTTATTATGGACATACCATATTCTGATTATTTAGAAGGTAAATTTTATTCGCGACAAACGACCAGCGTCGCGACGCATTTATTAGTCGTGCGAACTTCGAGTCATTCATACCGGTTAACTAAATTTTATAAAGATACAGACGCAACAGAATACTGTAAATCTATAATGTCAAATTTAACCTAATATGAGTCGCCACTGCTCCTATTAAATATATAATGAGTGCAAAAAGTATTCGTACAGAGAAAATATTTTTTTTTAAATTTTATTTTTAAAAGTATAAATGCCCAGCGAGAAATAAATCATCAAATTGATGTCGAATCGATATAAATACGATGATTTCAACATTAATTTGACGTCGATTCGACATTTAAATGATAATCATTTCTTGTTGGATAATTAACAATTTATTTATAAAGAGTAAAATAAACTGTATGTTTCTTAAAATGATATATATACCAAAAAGATGTGTATTATACAAAATATATCATCTGAAAAATAAGCGAAAATTAAAAATTGTATTGTTCGAATGCTCAAAAAATATTCGTACAGACGAGAAATTTAGCTTCTAAAATCAAAAATGTGAAGCTCGTCTGTTTATGTTAGAACAGAATGTATTTATTGTATAAAATTGCTAATTAATATTTATTTTCTACAAATAAGACTTTTTTTATAACAAATTTCCTTGTACGAATACTTTTTGCTCTCACTGTATATCCTAATAAATATAACAATGAAGGAATAAGGAATTAGGAATAAGATAAAATGATTTCATCCTGTGAGAAACCATATATTCTGGTGTATCCGATTTCTGATAAATTGAAATCATTATTCTTTATTCTTAATTCCTTATTTCTTTCACTGTGTCTACACAAAATAAAGCTAACTGGATCAAGTTATTAGCAAAATCAAACCGTTTCAATGTAGATAAACTTTAATCTCATTTCGATTTACTCTTCATCTTTTTTTAATTCTTAAAAAAAGGAAGAATTAGTTAAGTCGAGATTAAAATTAAACTATATTGGTAGAAACGGGCATCAGTTATGGAGACAATTTAACGTTTAATAGAAAATTAAATTATTTTCTGATACCTGTGGCATTCTCGTTACTACATCACGTTTCGAGACGTAATTATTGTACATACAAGAGCAGTTCGTTCGAAATACCTATCTGTTTGATTGTCGGGACGTGAATGATAGCGCGGCGACTTTTTGTAAACAATAGTGAAGCGCGGCGTGTGGATTGCCGAGTGCGTAAACAATTCCGAACTACGTATGCCAACTGTCTCGCCACCGGTAAGTTATTTAAATAATATTTAACGTATTATATAAGGTGTTACAGAATTAATCGAATATTATATCGAATATTTTTTTGTTGCTTATATTTTGATGAATATTATCGTATACTTTGCATTTCGTTTGTGAACTCGTTAGCATCGCTGAAAACGGTTATTTCCACTCAATTAATTATGACTCATCAACTTGTAACAATAAATTTGTAACTACAAAGTCGCAAGTTAGATAAAATTACGTTGACCTAAAATATAAAATATAAAATCATTAATCAAATTATAGTAGCTCAAAGTAATTAATGTAAAAAAAAGTTATTATTGCGCGTATTATAAATTTTTTACTGATTTTTATATACAGTAAGTGCAAAATATATTCGTACGAAAATATCTTCTGAAAAAAACTTTATTTTTAAAAAGTAAGTATTAATTAGCAATTTATTAACAAAGAATAAAATAGACTGTAGATTCCTCAAAATTATTTTACTTGAAAAGATATCTAATAATTCAAATATATTTTTAAAAATAAATAAAAATAAAAAATTATACTATTTGAATGCGCAAAATGTTCGTACAGTCGAGAAAAGCTTCTAATTGTAAGATTAAGAATACGCAAAGCTCTTTCGTTTATTTAGAATAAAATGTACTCATTATTGTAAATTGCTAAATAATATTATAGTTTATTTTTTAATAAGAATTTTTTAATAAAAATTTTTCTTGTACAAATACTTTTTGCATTCACTGTAGATATTTAATATATTATACAATAAGATATGAAATTTTCATGAACCTTTTTTAAATATAATTTTTCATCAATTTTTATAATTTTACAAATAAAAATTCTCCTCTAGTAATCTATTTAAATCAATCGAATCTCTCATTTTAAATATCTGGAATATCATACAGTCAATATTAACAAATAATGTATAAATGATATTAGATCGCTTATTTGCAACGTTACTCTGTCATTCTTTTTTCTCTTCTCAGACTTTTTGTTGCAATTAATATTACACTGATGAAAATATAATTAATTATTGTATAATTAGAAAATAATTATTAAAATACGACGATTGTGCAGTATTTTATGTCACTCCTAAAATTAACTCTTTTATGCAAGAAAATATCATTAACAAACGATCGATATATCACGCTACTTGAATCATTCGATCCGATAATTCACATGTTATTTCGCGTTCTCAATTTAGAAATGATAATGATTAAATTATATTTAAAATGGTGATAAATTTAAATTGCAATATGAGATAAATTCGAAAGAAAGTATCGTTGAAGTGTGCTAATTATCATTTGTGGATTGTAGTTAAACGATAATTTAATACCTCTCTCTCTCTTTGATTTCTTAAATGTATTTTAAATGACTAATCCAATTCGGAATATGTAATAACAATTGTCTTAATACGCTGAATTATATATTAATCAAGTTATTATTTATAATAATCTCATAGATTTATAAAATACTTATTTACGAACTATCGTGTTTCGAAGTAATAATATGACGACACTGGAAGTAGCTTGCAATGTTGCCTGTCAGTTCAACTTCCACCACACGAATGGCAGCGCGGCGACTCTGTGTAAACAATAATCTGCTATAGCTGCAATAACAAACATTGAGGCCGCGCGCCAACCGTTTTGTTATCTCGAATACGTTACACTAGCATTGAATATTTTGCTATTTATATTTTCATATTAAATTTTTCAGTAGGTGTGTGAATTACCATTGCATATTTCCATTATTTAAATTGATGATTTAAAAGTAGCTGATAAATAGATATGTAACACACTAACGTAGAATATTTTAAAGATAATGGCAAGATAAAATAGAAAAAGCTTTTCTGTAATATTAAGAATGTACGTAATATATAAGATGTTCCGCAAATATATGATACTATAATGTTACATTTTTGAAGATCATAGAATCGAAAATTAATACGAAATAATAATTAACTGTCGAGGTCGTTTACGATAATCGTTATTTGGAAATTATGTAATCTTAGCATTAAGATTTTTTTAAAATCAATTTTGAAAAGATATTATTATATATATAGTCGTGGAATTCTCATATTAAATTGTAGCTAATTTCATATAATCATCGATTCATCCAAACTGATTGCTAGTCTTTTCTAACATACGCATATATCGCAAAAGTCCGTGAAATAATACAAATAATTACAAGGTGCAATTCACAAAATAATTTGGATCTACGAATTCTTCTCAAATGCAATTGATAAATTAGCAGTGTCACACATATTCTATCTTAAGATATACATATGTTTCTGCACGATTTAGGATCGCAGGAGAAGTTTAGGGAGAACTTTCATGTTAAAGTTGATATGTCAGATATGTTATGAGAGAAATTTACACGCATCTCTCTTCAATAAAACTTACACATGATGATAGGATCGGATTGTTGACATTAGAAAGAAATTATTGGACTATATTCCGCAAAGTAGTTTTATATTTCATAAAGTTTTTTTTTCTCTTTTGCGGAAAATTATATCATATTTTTCCATACTCGATGTATCATAAGCCCTTATAAATGTTGAAAAATGAAATACATTTAACAAGAACTTGCAGCTACATTACATATATTTTCTGTGAAAATTTTTCTCCTATGTTATATTAAGTATATTTTCTCATGAAACTTTTCTCAACTTATATGATTTTAAATATCATATTTTTCTTACTTTCGTTTCTTCTGTGCTTAATTATTTTCCTGTAACATTAGACATTTTTTTTATGACTGATTATGCTTATGGCTCGGTTATAATAATATATTTCTATTTCACGTAAAAATCACGACATAGCAAATGAGTGTCGCGACGCCATCCGTTCTATGTCTATTTTGCGCCGCAGTTTGGTCTATTGACAGGAGCAAGTCATGCAGGAACAATTACGAAGGAATCTGAACGTTCGTTCACACACTTTACGAGCAGCAAAAGGGGAGGTTACGCGCTGCAGGCGAGAATGGTCTTCAGGATATTAGCACGTTATTGCCGGGGCTTATTGGTTTTATCGATTTTCTCGTTGTTCTACCCTGGCGGCCCTGTCTACCGTGAAAACGAATTAACATCCTGCCGTTTGTGAGGAGTGAGATGCGAATTGACGGCCATCGGAATCTTGTTAATGGCCTTGTGTCACACTTGGATCTTTGTTTTCGACGAATTTTGTGTAGATGATTTTGTGAACCACTTTATCGCTCCATCGTGATCCACACACTAAATATTTGTTGCATTTGTGTTCAATGATACATATAGCTTATTAAAAATTAATTTATTTTGTAATAATAATGAAGAAAAAACATATTATTGCGGTAACAATTTTCTACACTGAAAGAAAAAATTGGCTGAATATATGGCATAGCATTTTTAATTGGTTGCAGCCAATTTTTGGTTGTGTTGCTATGAAAATCCTATACTGACATTATGAATAGGCTAACGCAACCAAAAATTGGCTGCTGCAAACAAAAATTAGCTGCTACAGCCAATTAAAAATGCTATGCGATATTTTACCATCTAATTTGCTGCAGCAACTTATCTTTTCTTTCAGTGTATAAATATTTTCTGCTAATATAATTTCCTCTTAATATATTAAAGATAATAAGAAATAATAAGAAATAATATATTAAAGATAATAAGAATATATAAGCGATAAAATGGTTATGTGTGTACTGAGTGCATTTTTAAACGGAGATATACGCTACGTTGATAAAAAAGCGATACATTTTAAAATTAGCAACTTTTCAGGAGAATGGTGTGTGTGTGTGTGTGTGTGTGTGTGTGTGTGTATTCTTGAAAATTACGTCATGAATTTTTAAACACCGCAATCCTAATGCTAGCTTTTTATTTGTGTAATTTTTTATCAACGCAATATGATATCTTACATGGAACATGATAATGATAAACATAATTTCAATTGCAACATAAATAATGGGTAAACGACATGTAGAGAATTAGACAGATAGCAGAGATATATTCGATCTCGTGGCAGTGAAACTGCGTGAGATGAAATCGGTTATTATACCTCGAGCGCGTGTCAGTACACAGACAAAGAGTAATGGTAGCCCATTATCGTAAAAATATAGTAGATCCACGGGACGACCAGAGAAATTATGGAAATAATTTACGCAATCGTGGAAAGTGCAGGGTACAACAATTCCCGGCTAAATGCCGCCCTTCTGACAATCGATTTGTACGCGATGCATGAAAACATCCACGGCCAAAAAACACACCCTCGCATATAGCCATAGCTATTTCACGGGAATTTTTCATATTATTGAAATATCAGAAGTTATTCCGCATGTTTGCTCGAATCAATGAAAACGTTTATTATTTTCGAAAGCAGGACCGGAATATGTCAAACATATTTCCACTCAACTTCGAATAACGAATGTCATAATGGCATATATTTGTGAGAAAATTACCAAAAACTCATTTGTACCATCCATTTACGGCTTAAATGGTATACAGGATGTACTGATATTACAAAATTAAGTTAAGCATTGACAGCAATCTCAGAGTCGATTATTGTCTTCACAATCGACTGTGATTGGTCAATTTATTATGGCTTAAGGCCTTTTAAAATCTCATTGTAGAGCTGCTTTATCAAACTATTTAATTCTAGGAATAATCTTTACGAGAAAGAATAGATTCTAAATACGGGGGGAAAATCGAGGGAAATATTAAATATAGAATATAGAAACAAGAGTAATGTTTCGCATGTATATATCAGAAATTATAGATGGTGTTTGAAGAGAAGTTTCTAACGAGAGAATTACGACAAGATAACAATAGACATTTCGCATACTAAAGGAACGACACGAACGCTTAAGTAACGAGTCAAGCAGCAATGGTAGACGCTTGTAAACAACTATCAAACTCTCTCTCGTCGTACGTCGAGTTTTCACACCCTGCCTCGTTTACATTCGTTTGTCGTTGGCATTGCGCGCATCCGTGCCGCTTGTCTTTCGTTGCTTCACTTGATGATACGGAC